GGCAGCTGTGATGTGAAGTTCCCCATTCGGCTGGAGGGATTGGTCCTCACACATCAGCAGTTTAGCAGGTAGTTTTTGTTTGTTTTAGACTGACTGAAAGCATGTGAATTGCAAAATTAAAAATGATTGTTAATGATTTTGTACTCTTTGCTTTTTAAGAACAAAAATAACCGACTTGTGTTTTGCAGCTACGAGCCGGAGCTGTTTCCAGGACTCATTTACAGAATGATTAAACCCCGAATTGTCCTGCTCATCTTTGTGTCTGGAAAAGTTGTACTCACAGGTAAGATCCCATCCTGTCTGCTTAAAAAACAAAACATTTTTCTTTTTGTGTGTATTAAACACAGGGGGAGAAGTTAAAGTGTGTTAATCTGATTTTCACATTGTTTAGACCCTTCTTTTCTAAATGTCCTCGTGTCCTTGCCACTCATCGTAAATAAGATAAATTATTTTGATGTATGAGCCATACAAAAGAAATCGCGAGTCCAAGAATTGTTGATAATACATTTAAAGTTGATACTGAACTGGACATTTTGTAGATGGGAAAATGTTTCACACAGAATCTCTGCACAGTTGAATGATATACTGACTGTCGGAGAGACAGAAAGGATTTGATTTAATAGCTTCTCCAGTCGTAAATGATAAAGTTTGAGGAATTTCCAGTCAGTTGATTTGTGTAGTTGGGGAAAATCAAATTAACAAAATATCTTTAAATAACCTCCTTGAACCCATGATCCAATTAATCTATAATAAAACTATATAAAACTATAATAGTACTAAACATTGATGGATAGATGCTTTTTTTTGATTCCGTAACAGGAAATTGTTTTAAAGGGGATAAGGATAAAAATAATACAATAAATCTAGGTGAGGGTGCAAACATTTTAAAGTTTTAGTTAAAGATGAGTAAAAAGTAAGACTGAAATCAAGTAAATTGCATTTCTTGAAGCACTTGGACAGGCGAGATGGGATGTCCATGATGGGGCAGTTTGTTCAGTTTTTAAACTCTGTTAATGATTGTTGTGAATTAACTTTTGTAACTTACTATACTCCCTGTTTTTGTTTAAGGTGCCAAAGTGAGAGGAGAGATCTACGAAGCTTTTGAAAACATATACCCCATCCTCAAAGGCTTTCGGAAGACAACGTAGACCCTGCATCTCTTCTTTTATCATCCCCACAACCCTGTTTCTAACATTGTTTTTTCTTTTTTAAGCTTCACATCAAGCATCAGCCTTACGCTGACCTCTTCATGTGGACATCTGTAAGAGATGTGCTACAATGAAGTGATTCCCTCACTTTTACTTTTTGTCCCTACAGTATTTCAAGTTGTCTTAAAAGCAGGGTTTTAAGGATTGTCTTTTCTGTGTTATGATCCCACAAGTTTCTATATTTAAAAGTCAGTTTATTTCATACACATTTTAAGTCCTCTTTCGATTGTACATAAGATTGTAAGAAAGTGTAAAAACTGCTAATTAGAAAAGGGGCCGTCCTGGACTGTTTTATTTTATTTTTAGTTTTTTTGCAGTTAGTTTTCTACTTCTGGTTTTTATTAATTGCTCATATTTTATTTTGACATAATCAGCTCTGTAAGCCCCAAATCAGAGAGAGAGAGACTTCAAAACCGAATTCGCCTACTTTGCAAAGGTAGATTTCTTTCTAAATTTAAGGCCAGTAAGTACAGCAGTTATTGACAGTGAATTCTCTTAAAGTTTGAAACACTTCAAGTTGAACTAAACTGATCCAAATCCTACGGCTTAAGTTGAGTAGTTCATCAGTTTGGTTTCCTGTTGCAATCCTGCTTAATTCTTTGATAGTTTGGAGTCGGTCTAAAATTTTCTCTGGAGCAGATAACATGTTGTAATTTTTGAAAGAAGTGTTTTAATGCTCAAACTTTCATGTGTATGTACATATAGAAATATTTTTTCTACTGTAAATAAGTGATTCCGACCTTGAAGGGGATGCTGCTCTGCAGATATTCTTTTTGTTTCTTTGACTAACAGGACAGCGTGTTTGTAAGATCACTGGCATTTAAGTTTAGCCAGGATTGAAATGTGACCTGCAAGAAAGACGCTATTAGCTTTGAGTACAAGAAGCGGCTGCCAACCTAATCCTGAATTTACATCTAGTGATTGATGGCAGGTAAAATATGCATCACGTTGCTGCATATTTATTATTTTTAATTTTAATCATTTGTTTTTGGCTAATCAAACCTATATTTAAGGGTTTTTTTAGGTACGTTTTACAAACATAGAATATATGACTCTGTCCTGGTTACCAGTGAACTGTGCTCAGACACACAGCTGGGGGAAAAAAGCCGTTTAAATGTGTTTTAATTCTGGTCACGTTTTGATGTGCTTGTGTATCTCATGCAGGTTCAGCTGGGCACATCCTTCACACCAGTGTTAACATGTAGTTCTTAACCAGTTCAGAATATTTGATTGGCAGATTGTTTGGTTCACATGTTCAGTTAAGCCACTTTTATCGACTGTATGTATGGAAATCAATCAGGAACCTGTCGCATCTACATGCTTCTTAAAGTGTTAATGTACTTCTCAGTGCGTTAATAAACATGTACATACGGACTCCTTTGTTGGATCTGGGTCTTCTGTTGGATTAAGCACCATTTTTGTTTGGTTAGCCCCCTGTGTTTTGAATTCAATGTTATTTATATGTCATGTCACCTCAAAGTACTTTAATATTTCAAGCTAAGCACCCTACAATATTAAAAATACAAAAGCAACACTCGTGACTTACTATGAGGAAGCACTTGGTGATGGTGGGAAAGGAAAACTTCCTTTTAACAGGAAGAAACCTCTGGCAGAACCAGGCTCAGGGAGGGGCCTCGGACTATAGCAGCGTAACTGCGTAGTGTTGTTCAGGGTCACTCAATTCAGCCATAATTGTAAACTTTAAAAGTTTTAATCCTAGATTTAAAAGTAGAGAGGGTTTCCTGATTCCCAACCTGGGAGCTGGTACCACAGAGGGGTCTGATAACTGAAGGCCCTGCCTCCCATTTTACTTTTGGAAATTCTAGGAACCACAAATGAGCCAGCAGTTTGAGAGGGAAGAGCTCCTACTAGGATAATATGGTACTAATTTTAGGTTAAATCCACAGGTTTGGCAGTGGCTTCATCCTTGTTTCATATTATATAGCAGTAAAGGAGCATGCATCATAGCATACTGTAGCTGGTATCAAGTATTTGATGTATTTTTCCTGTGCAGCCCTTTATCAGACTCGTTCATTAAAACATTCAGTTTTCTGTATCTGAATACGTTTTAATTACTTAAATGTTCTGGCTAAGATACTTAACCTGAACTATGAATATGTAGAGTCTGAAAGATGGGGAAAATAAGATTTTTTTGGTGGTCAGTAACTTGAGGTGAGTCATGCTGGTAAATGTCAGAATTCGCTGTGTTAATAAAATTTGTCCCAATTGGTGACTTATTGCTGTGGTTATTAAACTGTGGGGGTGGACGCTGGTGAGCCGCTGTGAGGTGATTAGTGGAAAAATCCAGATGTTTCTACATTGTTTAGCTAAATTTGTTTTTAATGATGCAACACACACGTCTTTTTGTACACACATCTTTAATACATTTGGAGATGGCATTTTACACTGTTGTTTATATTTGCACAAAGTTTATGATTAGTTAAATCTCCAGTCCATTTAATAGGGAGAGGCAGCATTACTCCCATGTGATTAGCTCAGTCAGCATAAGTAGTCAGCTCTTACCTGCAGCACCACGCAGCTTTTTGACTGAATGACAAGTTCAGGTAACACATTTGGATATGTCAACATCAGGTGTCCCACCAAGCCACGTGGGTGAACGAACACACTGAAGCGGAGTCGCCTAAACATATTAATGAAATCAGCACCACCTGTGCTTTTCCTGCTATGCATGAAACAAGGGACGCCCATCATCTTCGTTCAGTCTGCGTGTGTTGATCTGAGCTGAAGTCCTGCTTCCAGATGACCTCGGGGCAGTACTGGTCGCTGCATTCACAGCTGGCAGAGCACGTGTAGACAGCCGCAGTCCCCCAGTCAATGCTAGCTCCAGTCGAGTCCACGCTTAGACTGTTTAACAGCTGCGGCATCACCTACACACACACAGGATAGCAATAGCACAAACTTGTGAATAAATCAACCATTAGTGAAAGATTAAAGACCCGAGCAGGTCTTCAACAGATCAGCAGGTCGATTACCTGGAACTCAAACGTCCTCTTGGCACCACAGGTGCATGGTGGGATATCCTCATCTGAAGGGATGTGCTGAGAGGAGACCCACAAGGGAGAGCCCCCTCGACTGTAACGTATCACCTAGAAATGACAAACACTGTGAGATATGGACAGAAGAAAACAACTGTCTGGATCTTTTTAGCTCTTCCATTTTCTACCTGTTGAGGTTCAGGTGCGATCTTCTTCTTAAACCTCTGGAACACTTTACTGTCTTCAGTCTCGTGCATTGCCATCTCCTCCAGGTCGCTCTCTGCCAGGGCTGATAGAGAACAGAAAGTCAGGATGGTGCTGGTCAAATTATAATGAAATAAATATATACATCACTAAGACTGGACTTTTCTACATAAAAGTTCACTTTTCAATTGAAAACTGAGAAAAACTTTAACCTTTAACCTTACATTCTGCCAAGGCGGGACAATCCACACTCCTCTGAGTAATGATCCCGCCATCGTCCTCTTCTTCTTGTTCTCCTTCAGCCTCTTTGACATCTTTCTCCTCCTCTGGCTCAGTGACCAGCTCAGTCTCAGGAAAGAGGAGCGGGGAGGGTGTAACAGGAGACCCTTCTAGACAGAGACGGACAAGTTTAGTCTTTCTAGTGACGAGAAATGACAGTCATAATTCTCTTAACTCGGGGAAAAGGATTATGGACCACTTAGCTTTTTATCCATCGCTTTTCTAAATATAGATACACTCTGGATCAGATCAGCTGCCCAATAAAGGGCTAACACAGAGAACCACACATGCTGATACCCATTTTACAATCACCAATTAATCTAAATGTACCGAGGGCTGTGAAATTACTCAAATAATAAATTAATAAAAGGTTTATTGTGCTGTTTTATGATTTTGAACTCATCACCTTTCTTTACTTTTGCCTCTTTATAAAAATCCAAATTCACTCCTTTCATTTTTTTTTTACTCTAAATTCATTTTATGTATTCATTTATTAAAATTTCAGAACCAGATTTCTTCTTTGGAAAGTTTAATGAACACAATCATTAAACTCAACACTAAAAAAAATGTGATTATGCTTTTTGCAGCTCAAGTAAACATCCCACACACACACCTTGGCTGCAACACTCCTTCTTGTGAGATTGTTTCCAGTGGAGGGTCTGGTGGTGTTTTCCACAGTAGGTCACAGTGTGGCACCGAGAGCAGGCTTTGTTACCGGGGCATCCGCACACCCAACACAGTTTAACTCCCGAAACGGGCAACACACTCTGGCCCTCTTCTGCATCGCAGGGTGGTTCATCCTCTAAAGGGAAGATGATATTTTATATTTGTTGACAAACAGACATACAGTTGTGGTCAAAGGTTCACATACATTGGGCATGAGTGTCAGGGTAATTTTGGGCTTTTAGTGATTTCTTTAAATTGTTCTTTTTCCACAGTGGAAGGATTGTACAGCAAACATCTTTAATGAGAGTAAAAAACAAGAACATGCTGCATAAGTTTGTATTAATTCTTGGATTTTTTTATACTCCACACAGGGTGAAAAGTATAGTATAAGGTTCAAATATATACATACACACTCTGTATATTTTGTTAAATGTTCTTTAGCAAATTGCACTTCAACCAGAAACTTTTGGTAGCTGGAAGGAACATCCAAGTGTGACAAAGTGTAAATGGTTTAGCTGGTATTCAATTCCTTCATTATTTCATCCACTTTGTGGAACCACCAGCACCACTAACAACAAAACAGTCCCAGAGCATGATGCTACCACCACCATATTCTTCTTCTTCTACAAATACTCAGAAATTGAATCTTGAATACTTCATTAAGAGTTAGGCAGCAAAAATTCACAAACCTGGTGGAGGGTCATAGGGGTAGAACTCGTTCCTCCTCTGTAACTGGTTTCTGAAAACTGGCATGAAGGAAAACACAGCTTTTTAAGAAATACTGCAAAATCTATTGAGAAAAATGAGTAGAATCAGACAACATCTCACAACACCACCCCTGGGAAGTGACAGACATCAAACAGTGAAGAACTACCTTTCATGCAGCGGCTGTCGTTTTGCGTGTAGCACTCTGGAGTTTTGCAGCAGAAGAGAAAGAGCGTTCGGTGAAAACTTCTGTCCTGACCGGATATTGGTGCATACACCTGCAACAATTCAGGTAAATATAGTATTTATTTATAGTGAATAAGGCTGAGGTGGGATTTTATAAGTTAAATCGGAGTTGACCCAGATTTGAGTATGTGTGCACTTAGGTATAGGTTCTGTGTGTGTGTGTGTGTGTGTGTGTGTGAGATCAGGCTTGTAAAAAGTACTTAATTAAAGTTGAAAAATACTCACACATTGTACACCACCTGGGTAAAATGTTCCGATTCTTATATCAGAATATATATCAATAACCAGCCGGCTGATGAAGGTCTAGTACCTAAACCCTGCAATTAAATATATTTTGGGGGGTTCTAATTTATTAAGGATATATTTCAGTATGTACCTTTTTAGGAGGCTTATAAAATACAAATGTATGATATGTGTGCCACTTTCCTTTCTCTGTGTTTATGCTGCTAAAATGTTGTGTTAATATGTTTACTGTTTAACTCTTTATACAGGACACCAAAGCTGTAATCTACAAGTTATTTCAGTCTTTATAGTATAATGTCAGCACATCTCTCTATACCTCAGTACAGTACAGTGAAGTAAATATTTTTATGAAGTAGGGTAACATGGCTCCTGGAGGCTCACCTGCAGCAGGAAAACCATAGGCAGACGGCATATCTCACACTCCAGTCCGGGCAGAGAGGGCAGGCCTCTCTGGCTGAGCCACGCCGGCTTCCCTCCGACTTTACTCGGGAACTGAGGAGACCGAAGCCGCCACGGCTCCGCATCCTCCAGGAAACCCAGAACTACCTCCGCCGAGGACATGTTGGTATTACAGAATATTTAACGAACAGACTCTAACCCTTACTGACGGAGGGTCTTCTACATCTCACAACCAAAACACATGCTGCTACAGTTCTGAAACTCGTCCGTGAGGAAACACAGCCCAGACTTTAGTTCCGTGGGCCTCGAAACTGTCACTCTGTTGGTAAATACTCATAAATATATGATAGTGCTTGGTGGCTTGAATGAACACGTTTGACTTCTATTCTACAAGTAGAGTTTTAATATGCTTTAATAAGCAATTTAACTTTAGTTGTATTTTGTTATGTCCACCAGATGGCGCAAATGTCACACCTGTAGTCTAAAAAGTTTTACAAAAAGTCACGTTTGAATAATATAATATCACGTTATTACAATATACAGAATTATAACGTTCGTACAATATAATATTTATATTGTACTTTCCACGTTATAACGTGATATAGCTCTATTTTTCTTTCCCGATGCTCCCCTCAATATTTATATTTTGCTTTAAATTGGAATTGGAGGGACTATGCTAGGAGGCTATTCCAGCTGTCATAAGGCTGGAATAGCAAGGCTAATAAGTAAGGCTAATAAAGCAAGAGGCAGAGGGGGGAAAAAAATCCCATCCGTGTTCTTAAGACACAGTTCTCTGGGTTTTCTGGAGGTCTTTCAAAGTTTTTGTTAAGCTACTTAACACTGCCCTATGAGTCAGGCAAGCATAAAAACAACAGAATTCAAGGGATGAATCCATGTTGTGTCTGGCCCTTCATCCACACACTGTTCACTAATGCCTCACTCATTCTTAAGAAGGGGAAGAAGGGGGGGGGTTAAGGCGGAGGTATTAATAATTACACAAGAACTGGACTCAAAATCAGTAGCAGCGGGTCTGATGGAGTGATGAATCATCATCAATGGAGGAGTTCAAGAGAGTTGAGTGTCTACAGCCAACTGTAAAACACAGTGGAGGTACTGTTATGTTTTACAGCTGCATTTCAGCCTTGGTGTTGGGATCTTGTCAAAATTGATGAAATTATGAACGCAGAAAAGCATCCATCAGTTTTGAAAAGCATCTGATTGGCAGCAGCTACAATTTATTTTTATTATTTTTTTTAGCATAGTAATAATCCCATACATACAAAAAATGCAGAATATGCATACTTAGATAGAAAAACACACAATAGTCTCCCCAGAACCTGGACCCTAACATTACTGAAGAAGTGTGGGATCATTCAGTTCAGTTAAATTTTATTTATATAGCGCCAAATTGCAACAGTCATCCCATGGTGCTTTATAACTATTGTAAGGTAAAGACCCTACAATAATACAGAAGGAAACAACAAAAATCAGATGACCCTCTATAGACAAGAACTTGGTGACAGTGGGAAGGAAAAACTCCCTTTTAAGACAAAGAAACATCCAGCAGAACCAGGCTCAGGGAAAGGCAACTGTTTGGGGGTGAGAGGAAGGGGACAGGACAAAAGAAACACTGTGGAAATAAGCCAGATATTAATTACAAGTAATGATTAAATGCAAAGTGGTGTATCAACACACAGAAAGTGAAAAGAGATGAGTGAAAAAGAAATGCTCAGTACATCGTTGGAAGCCCCCATCAGCTTAGACTTATTGTAGTGTAAATAAGGGAGGGTTCAGCATCACTTGATCGTCTTGACAGAAAATGGAACAAAAGGCAGCCAATGTCCAAAAAAGAACTTTGAATGTCCTTCAAGAAGCCTATAGAACTATTCCTGAAGACTACTTAAAGAAATCACAAGAAAGCTGGCTATGAGAGTTCAGACTGTGTTGAAGAATAGAGGTGGTCACACCAAATATTGACTTTCCACTCATTACAATTGGACAAAACTCTTTTTTCCCTCATATACTGTATATCCATGTGTGTGTGTGTGTGTGTGTGTGTGTGTGTGTGTGTGTGTGTATATATATATATATATATGCAAACCACAAGGCATTTGTGTCTCTGTGAACTGGGGATCTTTTGTTCCTCTATGTTCCTCTTTCCTGTGGTGTGATAAGATGTGGTATGTGATTTGCAGTAAGTACTCCAGAATAGACAAAAAGAAGAGAAAACCACATACTATGGTTTTCACTTCAAAAAATGAAAATAAAGATGTTAGACAATAATGCTGATATTTCATACAAGGAAAACGCCACTATAATGCTTGATGAAGGCAGCAAAGCATTTTCAAAACAAAGAAAACAAAAGCCACAGGAAAAAAGAGGGAAAAAATAAATCAAATTTCAGTCTATGAAACCATCGTCTACTACTTTTTTTTACTTAGTTAACTCCAACATCAATCTTAACCTTAATAGATTTGTAAGACATAGTTTGTCCTCCGAAGAGCGGCAAGTCCATACAGTGTGAGTGCGTGTGTGTATGTGTCCCCACAACACCTGTAATCCAAGCACACACACACACACACACACAGAGGCACCGTGATGTCACTGAAGGGGAGTTAGCGGCGGGTCTGTCCGTTGGACGTCTGGACGGACATAGACTCAGACCAGCGGCCAACGTTAATTCATCCTCCGCTCTTAGAATCGGACTCTCATTACTAATTTAATAAATCATGACGCTTAAAGGGGCTGTGTTGGGTGAGCCTCGGGTCCAACTTTGGTGATTTAACCATGGTAACTAAAAGGAAGAGGGCTTCGGCTACCACATAAAGTCAGTTGACAAACTGTGGCGGACGTTAACGGAAGAATGGACGGAGTGAAAACTGGCCCTCAACAGGACTGAACCTCCCGCCCGGGTTTCCTCGGGCTCCATGTCACCCTCCTCTCCGTGCCAGATGCCCCAGCGGGGCGATGGCTGCTACAAGCCGGCACCGGTGTCCCCTGCTCCGCCTGTGCCCCCGCGGAGGGTCCGGAGCCGGGACAGAGGCTCGGGCAGGACGCGGCGATCCGCGGCAGGGTCGGTAGGAGCCGGAGCAGCGGAGAAGCGGGTGAAGTGCGTCCTAGTCGGGGACGGGGCTGTGGGGAAAACCAGCCTGGTGGTCAGCTACACCACCAACGGCTATCCAACCGAGTACGTCCCGACTGCGTTCGACAACTTCTCAGGTAAAAAAGAGGAGAAACTAATGACATGGTTCATAGGATCCAATAAATGCAATGATCTATGTTTCAGTTCATCAAGTGTTGGAAATGATGTCTTTGGCTTTAATGATCCTATTTCACACGGTCACAGTTTTGCCTACTAGAAGCTGTTTCAAGGGATTGATTTATGCGTTTACTTGACTTATTTAATATATTAAAATTCAGTTTTTCATATTCTTTTAATTTTTTTTTTTTTATCATACTGACTTTTTTGCCAGTTTGTGTTGTGTTGTCATCAAAGTCAAAGTTTGTCATTTTATTACAACAGTAAACCTTACATTGGTGATACTAACCTCAAGATGATTTGTGTGTGTGTGTGTGTGTGTGTGTGTGTGTGTGTGTGT